GTGTGAATGTCTTTGAATAGCCTGAGAATGACTTTTCTGGAACTTAGAACAAATCGCTGTTGAGGGTAATTCAGGCTCACAAAGTTAACGGAGGTGACTGAACAAGCTTTAGCACGTGATAGGGAACGCCCTCTTTCCCTTGTGCCGCTGCACCCTTACTCCACTGCTGTTTCAGCTCTTATATACTGCGCGCGTTTTTAGAAAACTTTCTTTGCTGTGGAAAACATTTCAACAATCTGAATTGAAACATTAAGTCCCTCACATCAGGTTGCCTTCAAAAGGCAAGTAGGTTATTACGCAGACAGCTTTTTTTAGGTCATGCAAAAATCTAAACTGCGCTTAGTGGCCTGACTATTTTCGCATGAAGTTCATTCGATGATACGAGTCTGAAAATCTTCAATATTGGAACACTGGAAAACTTTGCAAGAGGGCTGGGTAAATGCCCTTGACACCCTTTATGACTCATTCTTGATACTTGATAATCTTCTTTGTAAGGGTGAGAACCTAAATAAATACAACACGTTTTCAGAGCTACGAAAAATAGAATCTACCTTATGGTTCAAATAAAGAGGATTTCTTTAACTGAGAAGTTTATGATCTGCTCAATAAATAAGAGCAGTTTTATATCTCACACAAAGCAAATAAAATATGTTATGTCATGTTATGTTATGTTAGAACATCAAGCCTGGCAGATATTCAGGCTCTTGATTTGCTTTAATTCACTAACAGAATGTTAACTGAATTACTACAGCACAAATAAACCCTAGACATGAAAAAATGCAAATAAGCTTTTACATCAACCAGTTCCATTTATGAAATAATTCTATGTTCTTAGAAACGATCTGTTTTGTTTTATTCTGTACACGTTTCTTTATTTGTATATTTATTTTCTTTTATTTGTATATATTTACTTTAAGAAATGTTAGGTAAATTGCTTTAAGGCCTATGGAATAGTCATACGTAGTAATTCAGTCATTCTTCAAAGCGGTCCATAACCCACTGACCACCTAAATCGCAGTCTACGCTACTGGCAAACAACCAAAATGGCACATGCACCTGCGAAGTGTTCCTTTGCCGGCATAGCAAATATTGCTTGTGGTTCCTCACAGGGTAAAGACAATTTTTTTCTACTAAATAACTCTGTTGTCCAAGTAAAGAACCATCTAAGAAGCTGTAACCTTTCACGCACCAAGGTCACCGAATATGATCTAATTTTGGCAAGGGCGGGAAAGTTTAATCGTTCGCATGAATAAGTAGAAAAGATGGTGGTTTGCCTTGCCTATAGGCACAGTCTCGGTATAATTACACTGGTGGCCATGAAGGAAAAAGGATTGCCCTTCACTGTAAAAACCAATTAACTGGCAAATGGAGCATTTAAGAAATCCGCGAGATTTTTGTTACCCTTGTTCTTGTGAGGTCACGTAAGTATTTTTTTAACTCTGGTCCTTTTTTTTTTTTTAATCAAAGAAGTGGCTGAGCATAAATAGACGGGAAAAAGGATAAAAAGGAAAATTCGCAATGCAACGCAATGTTTATAATTGAAAACGGTCTAAATCTGTTATTGAAAAATTTCTGGAGATAGAGCGGGGCGGAGGGGGAGTCAGTGCTTGTGAAAAACAGAATATACCGTAGTCATTTCTAAGTTTGTAATCTAAGCGGGGCAGAGAGTCAGTTGTTCCAAAAAAGTCACTCTCAGGCTATTCAAAGACATTCACAAGTCGATTTCTTGGAGTGCAAAGAAGAGACAACTTACAGGTAATATTATTATTAGGCCAAGATGGTTCGTTTCTCACAGAGCGCGAAAATCACACTTAGAAAGGAAAAGACGAGGAAAAATAGCGAGAGCAAGGAAAGTACTATAAGATTAAAATGACGTATTGATACTTCACATTTGCACTGTTGAGCTGTTCTTGAATCATAGTTTATCAGTTTCAGATATCTCCTCTTAAGAGCCAATGTCGGAAAATATCGAGAATCTCAAATCAGTTCCAAAAATTCCAATTTTGGCTGATACCACCCAAACATCCCTTTAGGGGAACTATTTCAAGAAACGATATTAAGAAATCCCCAAGCGCTTTTCATTTTGAGAATTTTAGAAAAGTTCCAAAATTCGCAAAAAATACATTTTTTAATTCGGGAAACGGGTGCAAATTTCAACAGATTTCAACGAAACAGTACAAGCGCGCAAAAGCTCCTACTGACTTGATATTGCGCATGTATTTAGCAGACATCCACAGCTTCAAGACCCCGTAAAAAGGTTTTGCAAAATAACTATTTTGATATAGCTTCTGGCTTTTATTGTGTGCGCTCTGATTGTGTGTTGTTTTGGCAGTCAAAATAACGCCCAACTTCAACCGTCAAAAGTCGATCCTGGTATGTCACAAATTGAAAAAACTACTATACCAAACGAAAGACCTGTTATTTTTTTAATTACACCTGAAGTTTTAGCTCTGCGAATTTAAACGCGTGCGAGTAATAAAATTTCAACTTGTGCCCCCCAAGTCGCCTGTCCGCGACAAGAACGGGAATGTAAACAAAGGAAAACATATGCAAATTGAGGAGAACTTGCCCCTCAAAGCGCAAAAAATTGATGGAATTCTGTTACCTTAACAGGTATTTCTATCTGAGAGACTAATAAAACGAAATTATCCGTCCAATCAATAATAATAAAAAGGTATAAAAAGGGCTGGAGGGCTAGGGTCATGAAATCGCCTCGGATGCATCGGAACTCGTGTGTATGGTTCCGGAGGTAAAAAAGCTTCTAAAGAAGCTTTCAAAATGCACCATGGAGCAAGCAAATAATGTCAGTAAAAGTAGACTGATATTTTGAGGTATGATAGAAATGAACCATTGCAAGTTTATTTTTACAAGTGACCCTTAAAATTACAAGAGATAAGAAATAAAATGACAGAGGCGGGCCGGCCATCGACAGTTCCATTTTAAAAGGTCCGTCCCTTGGCTATCGTACTCAATGTTAAGTCCAAAAAACCGAAACAAGATTCAACGAAATAAAGCATATATTACAATAATCTTTAAAAAGTATAACGCTAACTTGAGAATTAGATTTCCCGCATCGCAAAGTTTTAATTATGTAAATATCAGGAATGTTTACTTACTGATCTTATGTCGTGTTCCCGGGGAGGGTCCTCCCTTATGAGAGGCTAATAGGGATGTGCCGCTTGATGGGGTCGCATTTTCACGACTGGATTGACTATAATGGGGTCGCATTTTCAATAGAGTTTACTAGAATGGGGTCGCACATTAACTGATTTTTGGGGTAAGACAGTTCTTCATATTAGCAATTAGCAAACGTACCAGAATGTTTGTACTGTTGGTAAGGTAGATACATAAATAGAAAGTGACTAAGTTGGGATCGCAAAAATTACATTTTTGCCCCAAGGTGACTGACATGGGGTCTATAATTGGCCACAGAATAGACTATAATGGGGTAGGGGCTCTAAGAGGCCAGCGGCACATACCCAGCAAAAATTGACCCAAGTAGCCCCCCCGGGGTCGTGTTACATGTTCCAAGTTCCGCAGGAGAAGAGTAAAACCCTCCGTCTTGTTTATACATTTCATAAAAAAAGACTAACTTATTTGTTTACTAGAACTATAGATAGGGAGTTAATAATCCTCCCATAAACACAGAAAACGAAGAAGCCAATTCATCTCGTTTTTTTGGTGTTGTGTTACCTGTCACATTTTTCAAGTCACGTGCTTTGCTGTACACGGTTTGTGAAAATGAAATACAAAACATATTATTTAGTTATTTCTTTTAAGATAGTCACCTGCAAAACATCGCACAATTGTCAATGAATAAAGAAGGACTGTGCAATCAAAACTAACAGAATCTCCTGGAGCACCCAAGCCATCTCCGTTTAAATTTTCATTAACAAACACATCATCTTGTATTCAGAATTTCCCGTTTTTTCCAGTATGCAAGGAAAAATGCTGAAAAAATACTTAATGCACGCCGAGTAGCCTTAAAAATACTCCCGCATTGGCCTAACAAAGTTCAAGCAAGGGAAATGTCAACGAAAAAGTATTCTTCGACTTGCGGCTCTAAAATACTCCACCCCCCATAACTTTTGTAATGGTCCGTCTCTTACAACTAAAGTATTTGAGATTTTCGTAGGCTCGATTACCAGCAGTTGCTTAGGAAATGAGCCCGCGCTCCTCCCCCAAAAAGTCTCTTCTCAGAGAGGAGGGAGCGGCTAAGCAGTTGTCCCTTTCGTAAACGGTCACTGCCATTTTTAAGACACTTAGAAAATTTTTGATCTGTTATTGAGAGTGTTTCTATTAGAAAGAAAGAAAATCGGAACCCACGGTCAAACCCCACGGTACCTTTCGTATCCTAATCTCTCTCCCTTACCTCTCTACTTTTTGACTACCACATCGACGCGCCAAAATTCCGAAAAATTTAACAATAGCAGCGGCCCAAACCGAGCCTAAGATCTCCACTTATTTTTCTTTACTTTCGTAAAATATCAGTTAAAAAACGACTGACAGATTGGCGCCAAGTAAAAAACGGGGACAGGACTTAGTCCCGGGAGGGGGGTCCCTATACAAGCCATATAGGTATGTGCCGTCCCAGCGGGTAGGGTTTTTGGGCCTTTTTGGTCTGAAAACGGGTATACACTTTGCCCAGTTTGGTATGGAATCGGGTATGGTTTTCGAAGGAACTACGGGAGTGTATGAAAGTTTTTATCGTTTCAATTCCAAATGAGAACGAAAGAAAGATAATTATGCGAATTCGAGATGGATTTAATTTTTTTTTGCTTACGCTTTAATCTAAGTAATGATAACATAATTTTTACCTAAAGGCCAGGTCTGAAAACGGGTATGGATTTTAGTGGTCGGGTCTGAAAACGGGTGTGGAAAATGACATTTTTTGGTCTGGAGTAGGGTCAGAATTAGGAGAAACGGGCGGCACACCCCCACCAAGAATTTTCAGGAGTACCTCCCCCCCCGGACTAGCGTCACCTATCCAGTGCTCAATTTCAGCCTTGGCTTTGGCATCCACAATTACTGATGGCTTCTTTGAGCAACTTCAGGTATGGAGCTTTACGGCGAATTGGTTGATCGGGAATGTCAAGATTGAGGCCTTGACAAATCACCTGAAGCAACGAAACCTTCAAGCTCTTTAATGTGTCTTCTTCTGCCATGGCACAGATGTTGTACTGGTCAAAAACAATGGGATGTTGGAGTGTGACAGAAGCCATCACTTGGTCTCTGGCCGTGGAAAAGTTTATTTCATCTTCAATGGCGGTAAGGTCGGCTTCATGGGTGAGGGTCTGTTGGCGAGTTGTCGCGGAAAGGCGAGAGAAATATGAAGATATCTGCTGAGAGGTCAGAAATTCAGCTGATTTAAAAAGCCGCTCGCCATTCGAACCATGGGCACGTCTCATATCACGTGCTACAAGACTTGCGTCAACTTTCCGTCCAGTGGACTGACCAATGTTGAATTTAGCAGTGAGGTAGGCCTTCTGCTTTTCACTAAAACGGTACGCCTTCTTAGCTGGTCGCAACGCCCATCCCTCTGTTAATCGTTCTCTGGATTGTTTGTTTGCAACGCTGGTGGTTTTTAAGGTTGGCACGACACCGACACCCTCTTCTAAAACCTGCTGATAGCCAAGCTTAGCAAGATCCATAAGAGTGTGTTTTTCCAAGGACCGTATGCATTTCTCAGAGGACAGATGTTTCGTTAATGCCAAATGTCTTTGGAAAACCCTTGTACATCCACTCTCGGGGCAAGTGTATAAACCATGGTTGGTCTGACTCTCCTGTACGTCACTGGAACTCTCTCTTGTTTTGGGAGACTCGTCGTCGTCAACATGCTTTTTCTCTTTATGGCCGAAAGACTTGAATTTCCCCGGAGAAAATGTAGATTCTAGCCACCTGTTTTCGGATTCTGTAAATAGGGAAATTTATAAGTGTCAAAACGACACTGGGTAAACAAATAAATTCAGTGTAGAGATAGATATTATTTTATTGTGTTTCAGTTTTAGGAGCTTTGCATGTATTGCTATATTGCTATTATTTTTTCCATTGCTCTTATTGCTTTTGAGTTGATCTTCCCGGTTACGGAGGGGTTTCTTAGTTATCCTTAAGTTTTTTTAATGAAAATTTAAAATAGTCGAGGGTCCCAAATACAAACAACAAAAACATTGATTTCTTTTCCTCTGCCAATGTCATATGCCCTCCATGCTTTGATACCACCTTCTGTAAACTCAAAGTTGTTGAGTTTACTGACATTGTGGATCTTCGCTGGTTCGCTGATTGGTGATGCCGTTGTGATTGCATCCAGACACGCTTCGCGGACGCCATCAATTCCTCCATGTGAGACAAGAGCGTCTTTTAATTGAGTGGCATTCGTGACATCATGGCCTTCATTGATGAAAATGCGCACGTGAGCCTTACATGTGGCCGCAAGGCGATCTGCAGCTCCCTTACCGCCTTGTGGATCACTGAAATCAATGCGTCTAATCTGGACTCCTGTAGAACTCGAAACTACAGGGCACGCAAGGATCGTTGCGGACGAGTGATAGCATCCAACGTTGTCCTGCCGAAAATAGGCCTTCGTTACGTTTGGATACTCGGATTTGACAGAGCGAAGCACATCCTGCATGATTGATATCACAGAGGTACTGTCCTGACTGCATGACTGGATGATGTGAACATATCCTTGCCACTGTAACTGACTGTCAGATCTTCTATAGACCACGGAAATGTCCCAAGATATGCCACGCTTCCCGAACCAGTCAGACTGCGATTCTCGGTACCTCTGTGGAAGAAACTTCATTGCCCAGTCGTTGACAATGAGTACTGTCTCATTGTCAAGAAGGTCAAGAAAGTCCAGTCGCGGTTGGTCTTGGTTAAATGATCGTAATATGTGGCACTGCCATGAACGGATGGCAAGCTTCGATGACTGCATAATGTAAGTCGCTTCTTCACGCTCGTCATCAGACGAAAAATGGCAACAGTTAATGCGACTGTCAATTTCCCTTAAAATTTCGTTTAGCGCTTCACACTGCTCACAGATATCTTCGTGATTGTGTTGGCACTGCACCTGGTAGTCTGGATCGCTAGCATCGCTCAATGAAAACGCTACACAGTGATCTGGTATGCTAGCTTCCTTCTCCAAATGCACCTGCAAGCAAATCAATTCATTGCAAAAGCAATAAGCCTCATTTAATCAACTTATTTCGGGCGATCACCTACACTCCACAACAGCGGTTCATATTTTTTGCGCCTGTATGTGCTTGCTACCCAAGTTATACGCTTTTCACACAAACGCTTTCCCACATGGGATGAGGATATAGCGATACTCAAGCTTACCTCACCTATTGATATAATTAATGTGCCAACAAGAAGTGCATTACCCTGGGTACCAGGGTTTTTTCCGCGCGCGGAGGGCCTGCGGGAATCCTCGGCGTCGGCCAACGGCCGAAGTCTTGAGAAAAATGCGGCTCTACAGAAACCGGAAACCAGGCAAGAAAAGTCTCTCCCAGGGTAGAAGCGCTTTGTTTCTTGTAACAAAAGACCATTTTGTTTCACTCGTTACAAATTACAATGTTTGTAAACAGTGATGTCTCCTAGTATCTTCTAGGTAACTAACGATTAGGCGGGAGCTGAGGTGAAATGTACCTATACTTATCAATACTCCAAATTTATTAATGCATTAACCATCAAATTTTTCTGTTTACTTAAAACATACCTTGTAGTCTCCTTTTAGATAAAGCTTAGCAGCTTTGAGCGACTCGATCATTCGTCTTTCCCAATCCATGTCGCTTTCCACTTCATTTATTTTACGCACCAGTGATATCAGGTCATCAAATGCTCGTGTACCATCCGCGGCATAGTAATCGAGTCCCTGAAGAGACTTTCTTACTGACGCACTGCATTGAGACAAAATGCGCAACATCGTGCTTTGACTAAAAGGCTTAAAGCCAGTCTCTTCACAGTACTGAGTATATTGACGCACGATTCGTTGAGGTATCATGGTTCTTATCACGTTGGGGACTTTAATGACTTCACCCGTCGAAAGAGTCAACTGTTTCTGTCCGAACGGGAGATCTTGTACTAAGTGTGGGCTTGTGATAAAGCACAGAAAATGATGTAACTGTTTTAGATCTACTTTTATTCTTGTTGACACCCGAGGAGGTACAGGTGCGCCTCGACCAAACTGAAGGCGGTGCAGATTTGCCATAGAGTACCGGTACCTTGTTAGCCCTGGAATGAAGGTGGCTAAAATTTTAAAACCAGCAACACCAGTCATTACAGAAAGGATTTGTCGGCGGGTATCCCAGCTATCGGCGTTATTATACGCTTCTGTTAGGGCTTCTAGGTAACGCTGATCTGCTTGTGAGATATCTTCAATACCAAGCAACTTGTTCATGGAAGCTGTTGATGTGATGGCTCTCCAAATAAGGCCAGCATCTTCGGGAGAAATTGTTTTTAGCACTGCAGCTACGATGTCGCTTGATCTTCTTGTATACCTTTGTTTAGTGGATTCACTGCAACTGCTAAAGTCCAACCATTTTCTTTGAAGCGGCGGTATATTCCAAGCCACCAAGAACTCATTCAGAAGGCTACGCTGCATTTCTGCGGCTGTTGCTTGAGAGGGAACAATTTCATCGCTTTGAGTAGACGTTGTGCTCCTGGTTTCAGGGCTTAAAAAGGTCTCATCGGCAATTTCTAACTTGCTTAATGCACCAAAGGACAGCACTAGAGACATCACTGTCTGCAGATGTCGACTCCTCAGTTTCCTACACATTTAAAATAAATAACAAATTAGAGAATCCTTTTAATTCCCATTACAGTTTAAACCGGTTTTTTCGATTTTGTAAGGATAAGAGGATAATACAGTTTGAAAAAAAAAAAACGCATCGAAGACGCAGGTGAACAATTTGCTCGTTTGATGGCACTTTATTCACAGGTTTTTGCTTCTTTAAGTTTGATTGGGTTGAAGTTCAGCCTTTCAGACTCGGCCGAATTCACCTTCCTCAGTCTGCCTAAAATCATTTCTTTTGGTGCTTCATGCGTTACAGGAACTGGCTTACGCTTAGTGGCAACCTCGACTCGACCTCAGTAATTCTCAATTGACCTTTCTTTTTCTGGCGTCTTTCCTGTGATATTGACATCTTTTTCCAGATATCACAATCGTCGTCAATGTTTGCTGTTTACAAAGAATGAGCGGGGAGGTTGGGTGGGGGTGGGGGCGGGGTGGCTTGAGCCAATCAATAACGGAGAAATATTTTGAGTAAATAACCTATTTTATGGGCTTATCAACATACCAGCCTTGTATCACCAGTTTCCAAGAGTCCTTCTAAATTCTTTACTTCATCCCCACTTTCCATAGATCCTTCTAACTTCTCCTCTTCAGCTTTACCTTCCTTAGGTCCTTCTGATCCCTTCTCTATTGCTCCAGCGCCCATTAGATGTTTTTCCTCTTCCCTCGTCAGATGTCCAAAGCAAGTCGAGCAAATAGCTAATGTGAAATAATAGTATGTTAGAAAGTCCTCGATTAAGGCCCATAGGGGTGGCTTAATAGAGATGGGGCACTTACCCCCCTGAGGGGTGGCTTAATAGAGATGGGGTTCTTCTTATGGGCTCCTGAACTTGGTATCAGTTTTCCATAAAGAACTCAAATGCAATGTGGAAAAGCTCAAGCGCAGGAAGTTGAAGGTCATGCGGCCGAGGATCAAAAACAAACCCGAACTTCCAGCTGGTGAATAAACCACCCCTGGATTCCATCACTTCCTTACCCAGCCGCTGTTTGTTACTAACAGAGTCAGAGCGTTCAATCTCTCCTGAGAATTTCAGAAAAAAATTACAAGACATAACGTAAAAATCACTTACGCGATCCAACAACAATTAGCTGGCCTGTTTTCTTCAAAATAAGTGAAGATAGTTGACTGCTTATTCTGCGTGTTCCTTTCACTTTTGCTGACTTATGTGCGATCATTGGGCTTGGAACTGAACACATAGTTTTCCCTGT